CGCACCTGGGCCTGCGCCTGCAGCCGGTGAACAGCACATTCAACCCCCGCGATGAGAGTTACCGGGAGGTGAGTTCGCGCCGCCGGGACCCGGGTCACGGCCGGCGCCCCAAGCCCCCGCGGCACCCCTTCCCCCTCCCGGCCCGCCGCGCTCCATACGCCTCTCCGACCCGCCCCCACTCTCCCCCCGCAGCCTCGTCACCCCTCTCCCTTTCTCCCCCGGGACGCTTGGCCACGGCCTTCCCGTCTGGGAACCTCGTGGGCCGGGGAAACTGGAAAGATGGGAGTTATGCCCGGGATGGGATACGGGGAGGAAGGGCGCGGCGGCTGCGCGCGGGGGAAGGGGCCGAGCGCGGGGGATTGGGTATTTGTGGCGGTACCCGGGCAGCTCCTGAGCGAGCTCCGGGGATGCCAGAGGCGCCTCGGGCTTTTCCTCCGTCTGCGGTTCCAAGACGGGCGCTCTCTTTCCGGGTGTGTGTGGCCTGGGAGAAGTTTGGGCAGAAACTGGTCTCCCCGAGTTCAGCTCCGCAGCGCCCCTCCCTCCCCAGCCCTGCCTGCGGGGCGGGAGCCGCTGCCGACACCTCTGCCTGGGCCCCTCTTGGACGTCTGCAGGGCTGGGGGAGGCGGCTGAGTGGGCAGCTGGGGGTGATTTCCCTCCAAGGCCCTGGATTTCTGGGGTCTTGACTTCGTGGCCGGCCACTCCCCTCATCCTCGCGTTCTGCCCTTTCTCCGCTCGGCCGGCCCTCCCCTCTGCCGTTTCTGTACTGCCCTAGGGGGAGGGGCTCCCCAGACCTCCAGGCCCTGGCGGAGCTGCACATTTCTCCCAGCCTTCTGGGTCTGGCCAAGGCCACCCCGGCCTCCCGTGGCCCAGCTGAGTCAATTCACTGTTGGGTCAAAGATTCCGGCTGAAAAGCCCAGGACGGGACCCATCTTGGGACTTTGACCCCTGGTGGCCTTTGCCTGCAGAGTGTCAGGTTCTCAGGCGTGATCTGCCAGTGTGGGGCAGGTCGGGGCAGAGCGGGGCCTCTGCTGGGTCTAGAGAGGCTGAGCGGGAGGCTGAGCCTGGAGTCAGCTGTTCGCCTGTTCCCCCACCAGGCCTTTCTCCTGCAGGGCCCCGGGGATCCTGATCTGGCAGGGTGTGCAGTGCCCCCGTGGTGACGGGAGTCTAATAATAACGCCTAGTGTCCCTGTCGCCCTCAGGCCCTGGGCACATGGGGCCTGCCCTTCCAGAAAGAGGAGGCTATCAGGACCCCTTCCTGCTAAGACAGTTGGGCGGGTTAGCCAGGCTCCCTCCTAATATGTTTTTGCCCCTCCCTCTCCCGGAGCCCAGCCTGTGGAAGTCAGCCTTCCCTGAGAATGTGGCCGCCTGGGGATAGCTCCAGGGAATCTTCCGCTCCCAATGAATGCATGAAAAGAGGCGGATATGATTTCTGAGACAGCTGTGTTGTTGGGTGTGTGTGTGTGTGTGTGTGTGTTCGTGTGTTCGTGTTCGTTGCTGTGTCCCAAATCCTGCGCCCAGATCCTGCACCCAGGGTCTCCAACCATAATTTTATTCTCTCCACGGGAAGAAATCTAAACTGGCTGGGACAAGAAGCCCTGGGGGCAGGGGTAGGGTACTCTCCCTCCCCCTCCCCCACTACGACCCCAGAGACAGTGCCTGTCCAGCCAGCATCTGTGGCTGGCAGGGCCTGAACCTCCCCGACCCCACCGAGTCCCGTGGACAGGTGGCTGCTGAGCCAGCGGGACCCACTCACAGCCCCCTGCCCCTCTCGTCCCAGGGTTTAGACCCTGGCACACCGAACTGGGCATCAAATGACTCCCAGTGATGAGCGGCCCTCCTGGCCCTTCTCCTGAGGGCACCGAGTGCGAGGTGGGTGTGAGTGGCCAGGATGGGAAGTGTGGCTCGGGGCGTTATTTTAGGTGGCTCATACTTGGCTGAGTTCCTCAGTTGTCTGACCGTGGGTCTCTCCTGGAAGTCCCTTTCCTCCCAAGTGCCAGGTCAGTTACCACGGATCGGGCACCTTCTGCTGTCAGTCATCTGAGTGCTCCACAAACTAGATTGGGGCCAGGGCTGTGCTGGGCATGGGGTCACGTGATCGCCAAGGCCGCCAGGGCTTCTGGGCCAGGGCTTCTGGGCATCAGGCTACCGCAGCTGAGTAGGTGGGGCTGGGGCTCTGCCATCCAGCTGTCTGGGTTGGAATCCCAGTTTTATCACTTACCGTGTGTCATAGCAGGTGTCTGTCCGTCTCTGAGCCTCCCTTCCCTCATCTGTAAGTACCGAATGAGACGTTGCATGAGACGCACTTAGTACATAGAGGGACGTAGTGGGACCCAGTGATACAAATCATTAGATGGGCTGGGGGCTCAGTAACGTGTCCAAGGGCAATACTCCTCTCGGGCGACAGAGCACTGCATCCGGCTGTGTCTCTTTTCCAGAACAAGCTACTTGGGTTCCTTCCTTCAGCTGTGCCTTCACCACCCCACCCCCACCCCCCAGTGCAGGGAGACCAGATGAAGTGTCTTAGTAAAGTTCCAGATGCCGTGCAAATGTTCGCAGTGGCCACGGTCAACATGCAAGAGCCACACGTGTGCTTCCTGTTCCACCTTTCCTTTCCCTGCTTCTGTAGACCGGGTGTCCTTTCCAGATGTGCATGGTGAGGTGGAGGAGAGGTTTTCAACTTTTTGCGTTTAGACCGAGAGGTTTGCAACGTTTTGCATTTAGACGTGGATTTCCACATGTTAATTTTGGATGGTGCTTCAGTTCCTAGGCTCCCCAGAGAGTCCCAAGTGTGTGACCTCAGGCCAGGGGTGGGGACAGCGTGGGGGCCGGACCCAGAACTACAGGGCTTCCCCCCACCCCCTTCCTTGGGGGCAGCTCTCAGGAGGAAAGGCCCGGCTGGGAGCCGGGGAGCCAAAGTTGGAATGAGGAAGCCCCATTCATTCAGTCTGAACACTGAGTCATGGTCATGGGACAATCACGCTGCGCCCCCCTCCCCTGCTGGTGGTGGGGGGGCTTAACCCTTCCCTCCAGTGCTGCAGCTCCCCTCCCTCCGGCCTCACCCTCCGCCCCCGAGGCTCGCTCACTTTCTAGCTGTCTCCTGACCTCTTGGGGTGAGGGGGACCCAGGCTGTCGCCCCTTCCCCTGCCTAGTGCAGAAGCCCCTCGTGGTCCGCGTTCCCAGAGTACAGATCAGTCAGTGCCGCCTCAACTTGGGTCCTGGGTTCGTGCTCTGGGTTTCTCATTACAGAGTGACAAACCAGAACTAATTGAAATCACTTTGAGGGGGGAGAGACAGGAGCCCCGAGCCCTGCTGTGGAGCTGCTGTGGGCTGGTGTTGGGCAGAGTGGGGAGGTGGGAGCTGCCGGGCACTGTGGAGGTGGGACTGATGTGGGAAACTACTTTCCAGGCTCTGTGAGAGCGGGGGACTTGTGAGCAGAGCTCCCAGGTCCCTTTGGAAGGGAGGTTTGCTCTCCCCCACCCCCACTGCCACCGCACATAGGGACTTGCAGTGTTAATTAGGGGCAGGAACATAATTGTCTATCCCAGGGTGGCAGGTGACACCCAGGCGGCTGTGGGGTTCTGCTGGTTAGGCTTCCGCTCCTTCTTCCCTCCAGCTCCTCCTTCCTCCTCTTCTCCCTTCCCCAACTTCCTCCTTTCCTTCCCTGCCCTCCCCGCCGTCGCACCCTATCCCCCCAGCACCCAGAGAGACGTCTGGAGGTGAACTGCTAACCAAAGGGCCCCCCTGCATTTGGGTTTCCCAGGCCTGGCCTCTCCCAGGCTGGGCCGCATCACCGGGAACCCACTTGAGGCAGCTGCCCAGCTTGGGAGGCCCTGCCCCCGGAACTGGGCTCACAGGGGGCAGGGGGCTCTGAGAGCATGACCTAGGGGAGCCAGCACACAGACTAAGGGCAGCAGCTGGCTGTGGTTTGCAGAGACTGAAATGGCACCAGCCCATGTCTAGACTACCGCTTAGAGGTCCTCCCTTGCTGGGTGGGGACGCATGGCAGAGTGGTGGCTTTGCCTGTGTAGGGAGAGGTTGGGAAGGGGGCCGGCCAGGAGGCCAGCTAGAAGTCAAGGGTAGCTGGGAGGAGGTCTGGATGTGAACCGCTCTCTGAGGTATACAAAAGGTCTGTTGGGGTTTTGTATATACAAAAGGTCTGTTGGGGTTCCTTTTTTTTTTTTCCCCGGTAGGAACAACTTAAAGGAAAGTGCACACTCTTAAGTGTGCACCTCAATACGTGTATGTGATACCATCCTGAGAGAGTATTCCCACCTCCCCAGGGCTCCCTCACACTCCTTCCCAGTCCATACCCTCCCAAAGGGAATTACTGTTCCCACTTGTCACTATAGATAGGTACGCTTCTCTAGGGTGCCTGGGTGGCTCAGTTGGTTGAGCATCTGACTCTTGATTCCGGCTCAGGTCATGACCCCAGGGTCGCGGGATCGAGCCCCATGCTGAGTGTGGAGCCTGCTTGAGATTCTCCCTCTCCTTCTCCCCGCCCCCGCCCTTCCCTCTCTCTCCCTCTGCCCTTTCCCCGCTTGCTCACACACAGGCACATGCACTTTTTCTCTCTCTAAAAAAATAATAATAATAAAAACATAGGTGGGTTTCTTCGACGTTGAACTTTATGTCTGCCGTTTTGCCTGGCCTGTCTCCCCCACCGCTGTGCCCGTGAGATCACCGTCCGGCCGTGTGTGTAGCCGCACCTTTCTTCCCATGGCCGCGTACTATTCCAGCGTATGACTATAGCACGTCGCACATGTATCTGTTTTCTTGTTGGTGGACGTTTGCATTGTTTCCGCCCTTGGGCTGTTACCACTGCGGTGAACGTTCCTGTCTGTATCCTGTGGGGACACAAGCCCTCTTTTCTGTAAAGTAAATATCCTAGAGGGGAATTGCTGGGTTGTGGGCATATGCTCGTTGTGCAGTGGTTTGCAGATTGGTCAGGGGATCCCTGGGTTTTAGCAGAGGGGCCTCGGGGGCCTGCGAGAGGGTGGCCAGGACAAAGCGTGGCTTTTCGGTCCACTCCTCGGTGAGAGGAGGCCCTGAATAGCGGGGCTCCGCTAAGCAAGCGTGTTTGAAGCAAACATTAAGCTGCTGGAAGAGGTTTGAGAAAAGTCTGTCGGTGCTCATCAGTGCTCCCAGACTTGAGCGGGATACAGATCTCCTGGGACCGTCCCTAGATGCCGTTCTGACTCACTAGGGTCCAGAATGAGGCTTGAGACCCTGCATTTCTAACAAGATTCTGCATTCTAAGAGAGGTCCATGTTGAGCGGGTCAGTGAACTTCACTTTGAGTAGTGAGCCTCTAACATCCAGTCTTCCTTGGCCCCCTTCACCTTGGCCCGGGGCTGCAGGACCCTCCAGTGAGGACGAATGGGCTAGGGGCAGGAAGGGGGTCTCTCCTTTCTACTGTCTCACCTGGGTGGGGGCCTCCCGGATCAGTCACGGGACAGGCGGTGCCCGGCCACACCTTGAGGACTGCAGGGACCTTTCTGCAGGGGTGATGTGTTCAGACCCACTGGGCCTTCCCAGCTGCCTGCAGGTGGGCTTACCGTCCATGCTGCTGAGGGAGGGAGGCGAGCGGAGAGGCGAGTTCCCGCAACACCAGTGATGTATTTTTCCCAGGTGGAGATGAAACCACACTACGCCCTCCACCATCCCCATTCCCAAAAGAGCCATTGCCCCTGCCCGCTTCTGGACCGTCCCCACCACGCTGGCTGTTTGTCCCTAGGCTCAGAAGCCTGCAGGTGCAGGCAACGGGCAGAGCAGGTGGAGTCAGGGTCCCCGAGACCTCACAGGGCCAAGCAGCCAAGCAGAGAAAGACAAGGCGGACCCAGCAGGTGCCTCATTTCTCTGAGCCCCCGCTCCCCTCCCCCCTCACGCCGCCGAAAATGGCCCCCAGCCTGAGGACAGCAGAGCGCAGCTTCTGTGTTTCAGGGTTGTCTCCTATGGGTACGTGGCCCTGCTCAAGTCTGGTCTCCCACCTTAGACCAGGAGGTCCTGGGCTCCCAGCCCAACAGTCCCAGCCCGGACTAGAGGGCAGGGGGCTCCAGACCAGGAACACCCCCCCCCCCCGGGGGCATGTGGGGAGCAGGGTGAGGCTGTCAGCTCAGGAGCCTGACTTACAGCCAGGTCCGGCCCTGGCTGGCGGCCACCAATCCTGGGGCCATCTGGTGTCCATCTGGCTGAAGCAAGAGACTGGAGGGCAAGGAGGGGAGTGCCTCCGGGCCGCCTGACAGACGGCAGCTCTCTTTGCAGGACCCCGAGGAGCTCGGCTGGCCTGAGACGGGCTTCAGAATCTTGGGCTTTGCTGCTGCCCTTGGCCCCTGGCGGACGTCTATCCCTTTACGGATTTAGTGAAAGGGACCCCCCCGGGTGCATGTTCTGACCTCTCCCCTCCCCCTCCAGCACAGCGCTGGCTTCTGGTTTCTCTGGAGGGACCCCAGCATCTAGAGCAAGGCTCAGAGGAAGCAGATGTACCAGGCGTCCCTTCCTGGCCCTGGCCCAGGTTCCGCTTGGCTTCTGAGACATCCTGCCCAAGCCCTGTGTCCTCCAGGAGACCACAGCCCTCGGACCCCCGGGGATGTCCCCCTCCTTGTCTGTCCCCCAGCCACGCAGCTCAGCACCCGCAGCCCCCACTGCCAGCGGGCGGTTCCTGCCTCGTCTCTTGGACATCTCAGGGCTGCTCATCAGGCAGGGCCTGGTCCCTATCTCCATGCAGGTGCATAAGCCACCAACCTGAGCCCAGCTCCTTCTCCCTCACATCCGCCCCCGCACCCCCCGCCCAGCCCCGGTGCCAGGCCCCGTGTGGACAGGGCGAGAACCTCAACTGTGGGAGGAGGGAGGAAGGGCAGAGGAGGGGATGGGTGACCGACCACGTGCAGTCACGGCTCCTACACTCACAGCCCGAGTGGGAGCTCAGGGCCCCGGGGCAGGGCGCCTTCCGGATCTGCCCTGGGACCAAGTGCTGACCCCAGGCATCTCCCCTATAGTCACTGATGTTCCTGGGGCTGGTGGCCGCCGTCTGCCTGGGCCTGAACCTCATCTTCCTCGCGGCGTACATGGTCTGTGCATGCTGCTGCAGGCGGGACGAGGCCATACAGACCAAGCGGCGCAACTCCTGCTGTGTCACCTGGACGGCGGTGGTGGCCGGCCTCGTCTGCTGGTGAGTGTCCCTGTGTGCACTGGGTGCCGCCTTGCAGACCATGTACCCTCTCCCTCCACCACCAGCCCCTCACCAAACCCCAAGGGGTTCGTCCGCTGTCTGGCCACATCCTCCTGACCGAGTTCCGGGTACCTTGATGGCAGAGCCCTTCACAGGGTGAAGGCGTTTCTTGCGAAGCAGAGGGAATTGGATTCGTGGGGTGGTGATGGGGGTCTCCCTAGTGCACCTCTGTCCTGGTGTAGTCCTGTGCATCGTGGCCGGGCACGTGCCTGCCCCCATCGGCAGCTCCTGGAGCAGTTTGCCAGATGGCATTCCCGGACGGAGGGGGTGTCTGCTGTTTGCATCCCGGTACCCTCCCGGCTGGTCTGTGAGGTCAGAGAAAATTTGGCTGCAGTCTCCATCAATTCCATCTTCTCAAGAGATCAATAGCTCTTAGTGCCTTCTGACGGCGCATGAGGGTTTCTAACTCTGTGCCAGAGCCCGCGCCCCCCGGGCCGTGTCCACACACACCCTGGGTCTGTTTTCGGGAGTTGCTTGTATGTTTCTTGTTTTCGTATCTGCAGAGGTTTTTCCAAAAGCCTCGGATCCACCCTGATATGCTCCTGGGGGTGGTCACCCTCGAGGCGTAGAGACCCTCATTGCCAAGTGTCCATTGTATCCAAGAACCCACAGTGGGACTTAGCTCTCTGCCTCAGCGGCAGGATGAGAGGCGGGCGGGACGCAGTGATCCTGGGCCGTTAGCCTCACTTCTCTACTGTGGTCTCTTCTCCATTAGAACATGGTCACGTCCCGTCCCGCCTGCAGCGTAAGGGTCCTCTAAGCCAAGGAAGGAAGGAACCGGAAGCAGGGTAGCAATGATGCCAACGTACTGAGCACTAGGGCTGG